TCCCCCCTGACCCCCCCCCCCCCCACATCCCAGCCCCCTGAGCTTCTCATGTACCTCAGACCCCTCCCCCCAACCCAGACTCTTGCCCCCCCACATCCCCATCCCCTCTCCCTAACACTCCTGAACACCCCATCCCAACCCTGTGCCCTGAGCCCCTCATACATGTTAATCCTGACTCTGGAACCCCCCACATCTTCAGCCCCCTACCCTAACTCCTGTAGCCCTACACACACCAGTCTCCTGCCCGGAGCCCCTCATACAGCCCAGCCCCCTGCCATAACACTCCTGCACACTCCACACTCCAGCCCTGTGCCCTGAGCTCCTCATACACCCGAACCCCCTGTCCTGAGTCCCTCATTCACTCCAACCCTGACTCCTGCAAACCCCATGTCCCCAGCCTCCTTCCCTAACTCTTGTGCCCACCACACCCCAACCATTTGCCCTGAGATCCCTACACTCCACTCCACAGTTAAATTTCTTGCAGGTATTGTTGTATCACAATTCCCCCACCTGCTATAAGACCCCTTCTGGGGATGGGGGGAGGAGGGGACAGGTTGTGATAGGATAGCACCTGTTAGAAATTTAAGTTACTTTCACCCCTGGGCACTGAACACTTAAAGACAATTTATTTTTCTATGTAATTTTTAACCTGTTCTTTTCCTATTTTAGCTTCTAAACCTAGTTCCTTTTTCCCAGTATTCACTATTGTAGGTCTCTAATCACCACCAACCTGTCTTGGCCAAGGCAGAGTGAGAAATATAGCAACACACAGGATCAAGCAGTCAGAGATTAATCTGTGTTTTAACTGCAGCCACCTCAGCTAGCGCCACAGAGAATGCCCAACACTGGATGCAACTTCAAGCAAGTCAGGACCAGAGACACTTATGATCAAAACCTCTGGTAAAACTGACAGGGTCCGGATCCTCACACTCATGGGATTTGGATGTAGTCTATTTCTAAAGAGATCTCATCACAATCCCAAATCTGCAGAGCTAAATCATCCAATTACAGTGTATTAGCAAAGCCCTCCCACAGCACTTGGGCCACCATGGCATTGGACAGCAAGATCAGAATCATGATAGTAGGCCTGGCAAACTCTAAGCTAGGCAAACCAGAGCCTTTGAGCAAGGGGGAAACCCCTCAAGGAAATGGGGGAGACATCCGGTAATCCCAACACTGATGTTGAGGATTACCCAAGACAGCAAGCTCAGAAGCCCTAATGAGGAGGCAGACCCAGTTCATTGACACGGGTAGGATCCACTGAACTTGTGAGCCAACTTCGGCTAAAAACAATGAGAAGACCCTATGCTCAGTGGAGCAAACAAGCAACAAGCTAGCATAAATGGAAGGGATACAGATCCCTGAAGGGCAACAGAGCTAAAAGAGGGCAGCCTGTACCGGGTTGACCATGACTCGCAAAGCCAACAGGGCTAGACCCAATTGGTTGTGCCATGGTGCTATGGGCAAGCTGTCATGAGGTCCACTCATCATGTCCCTGCTGCGGGGCATTTGGGTCATAAAAAGACATTGGTCCCAGTTTTGGCCCATTCATTCTGGCCAGGAATTCTCTGAGAATTCAAAGACTTTTACAGCTTTTGCTACAGTGCCAGCTCATCACTCCTCAGGGAGTGCCAAAGGCCACACTACTCCCACTATCTGTGGTGGAAGTGTCCTTTGGGAGGATCACCATGGCCCTGTTGGGACCCTTCTGAGAAGTATGGCCAGTTTAAGATATATTTTGGTGATACTGGACTATGCTACTCATCTCCTTGAAGCATTCACTCTCTTGTAACATCACAGCACAGATCATTACTGTGAAGTCTTTACTCGAGTGGACTGTCCACAAGAAATTTTGACACATCAGGGCACAAACTTCACATAAAAGCTGCTTAAACAAGTCTACAAGCTGTTGAGCACTGAGATGATTCAGACAGTTGATTTTCACCCTCAGATGAATGGCTTATTCAAACATTTCAGTAGAACCTTCAAAGGCATGTGTTGGAGATTGGCCCTGAAAGAGCTTCTGCTACCCACAATCTGGGAAGTTTGATGATCACGAACCAAGTTTTCTCCATTTGAGAGCCTTTATGGAGGTAGCAATGGGGAGTCCTGGACCTGATATTTGAGGGCCGAGAGCAGGCACCTTCCTCTGCTTGCAGGACCAACTTGAGAATGGTGGAGGCCTTAGTGTGTGAGAATCTTTGCAACACATACAAATCACAGGAACAGGCATACAACCAGGGAGCCAGGAAAGGGTCTTTGAACCAAAGGAAAAAGCTGTCCTGTTATTCTCCTCTGAGGAGTCAACTCTGCTCGACCAAAGGCGGGGGCCCCAAGAAGTGATCCGCCAAGTGGGGACATTAACTATGCAATCCAGCAGCTGGACAACAAGAAGAAATGACAAATACACCATGTGAGTCTCTTGACATCCAGATGGGATTGGAAGGGATTGCTGATTGCCCCATACAGCCCTGAGACAAATCTGTGCTCAGCTAATCCCATCCTTTCTCTCTTGCAGGATATATAAAAACATGGCCCTGGAGCTCAGCTGGAGCCAGAGTAGGGAAGCAGCCAGATGTCCTTCCCAGGGAGGGGAATTGTCCACGGATCCGTGACCGGCTGTGGTGGGCAACAACTCTCCTGAGCTGGCCTGGGGACAAGAAAAGCCACTGACCAAGGAGACTGAGGAATGCTGAGAGTGAGCCACTTGGAAAAGAAACTGGGAACCAGGCCCTGGTAGCTGAAGAGCAACCCAGCCAGATGCTGGTGAGCAGCAGCCCAGGGAAATGAGACTTTGGTTCTGCTGTGTTGCCAGAAGGTAAGGCAGTAATCCTACATTTCCCTGCCAACCCAGTGATGGGATCACCCTTCCTTCAAGGATCCTAGGCTAGGACCCAAAGGAGCAGACTGGTCCCAGTCCCTTTGCCCCACACTCATGGCTGCACTAACCTGTAATACAGCTATTGTCTGTTTGCTCAGCCCACGCCCAGGAGGCCCTACCTACTGACTGCTCAGCCCTAAACTAAGAGCTGTGACTGTATATTTGCTCAGCCCACACCCATGGGGCCTGAACTATTGACTGCCCGTTCATTCAGATCACACCCAGGAGACCTGAGCTGTTGCTTATTTAGTTGCCCCACAAAGCAGAACAGATCTGGGGTGGACGCTTAGTTCCCAACGCTGCCGAGAGGAACAGGTGGGGCTTTTCTCCTGAGATACAAGAACCTTACAACAATGCAGTGACAAATGTGGATGCAGCCTTCATTTCACTGTGCCTTGTCACATGCATGGAGTACCTGTCCTTTAAACACCACCATCAGCACAGACATGGTGCAATAGCCACTCCCTGAGTTATAGTAGTGACATTAGCAAGTTTAAATTTAGATACACATACATTGTAAACTCACCTACGATTACTCACCGTTTCAAAGCCCCGATGGGGATGGTCTGGAAAGCCAGCTGGTTTTCCTCCTCTGAATTCATCAAGCAACAAAAAAGGATCCAAATTTTTTAACTGAAATAAATCAAATTTAGGGTGCTTAGAAAAAGACTTTATATTGACTTCTACATTATATGCTGCACACAAAACAGTAAGAACATAGGCACCTAGTGCCTGTGTGGGAGGAGGTGCAGCGAGGGCCACCCAGAGGAACAGGGAGGGGACATGAGGAGGCACCCCATTTAGCAATTAAAATGTGGATGAGGGCATAAGGGGCAGTGAACCTCCTGAGTGCTATGAGTTGCCTATGTGTAAGAAATACTGAACCTAGAAATATCCTTTGGTTCTTGAAGGGATTCCGTTAAAGCCCAGCATTCAAAATGTAAGTTATACAAACGTAGGTGCAACTGAATTTCTAGAAGCTATCTAATTTTTCACTGCTCATTATCTTTATTTCTCATATTTATTTTTGAAGTGTGCTACAGGTTGCACTTCCCAAAACTGGGACTCTCTGGTTGGGCAACATCCAGGCCAGCAGCAGCAGGGCCACGGCCAGCATCTGGCAGCCCAACCAAGGCCAGATCCAGCGACAGTGAGGCTGGAGCCAGTGTTTGGCAGCCCGGCCAGGGCCAGAGCAGGTGGCAGCAGAGTTGGCATCTGGCAGCCGGGTTGGCATCCGGCAGCCCAGCTGGGCCGATGGTAAGGGGGCCAACTGGGGTGAAAGAGGAACCAACAGTGGAGCGCATGGCGATATGGGAGGGGAGCAATGACAAGGGACCTCCCCAGGTCTCGCAAATTCCCTCATACTGGACTAGTCAGATCCCAAGGGTGATGGATCAGGGAGGTCCAACCTGTATTCAAAACAATTTCATAGCATTCATATTTAATAACTTAAAATAACTACAGAGCTATTTACAGATTGGTTCTGGACCAATAAGACACAAACTCCTCCCCCAGCATAAAGATTCCCACTAATGATCCATTCAGGCAAAACCTTGAGTGAATAAACAGGCCTTGAAGCATGCCTGGGAAGTCAGCAGACATAGATTCTGATGCATGGAGTGAATTCCGGAGGCATGAACTCTTGATAACACCATATCACAAGCCTCCTTGTGATCTGTCAACTTGAGTAGATCAACTGATCTCAACCAGGGCCAGAGGAACATTTTGGAGCCCAGAGTTATTAGATTTTGTGACCCCCCCCCCGGCTCTGATGGTGTCAATAATGAGGAGTTCAGAATGTAGGAGGCAGCTGTGAGTTGAGGCAGGAGGTTGGGGTGCGAGAGTGGAGTAAGGGATCTGACAGAGGGTGCAGACTGTGGCGTAGAACTGAGGATGAGGCATTTGATGTTCAGGAGGGGGTTCCAGTCTGGGGCCAAGGGGTTTGGAATGCAGGAGTGGACTCAGGGCAGGAGGCTGAGGTGGAGGTGTGAGGTCTGAGTGAGAACTAGGATGTTGGATGGGGCTCCAGGCAGGAGGTGAGGGTGTGGAGTTTAGCAGGGAGGGTGCTTAGGGTTGAAGCAGGAGTTAGGGTGCTTACCTGGGGTAGCTTCTGTTTGCTGTGGGGGCGGGACACAGGTGGCTCCATGCTACCCTGTGCTCCACCCCCATGGCTCCCATTGGTCATGATTCTGTTAATGGGAGCTATGGGTGTGGAGCCGCCAGTGAGGGCAGTGCAGGAACAGAGTTTTCTGGCACTTATGGTGACATGGCTCCTGCCCAGGGGAGGGAGGAATGGCAGCGCAGGGAGCCCCCTCCAACTCAGAACACAGGGGCTTTAGTGGCTACACCCCAGGGCTCCAAAGTAAGTGGACCCCCTTTAGTCCAGGGCTGCTTCCCCTAAAGTGTCTGTCTTAATTTGGCCCTGATCTCAACTGTTGTATCACCACACAAGGATAAAGAGGGAAGCTATAGGATAGTACATATCCAAACCATACAGAACTTTACTGAGAACCACCAAAGCCAACACCATGAATTGTACTCAGAGGCAAACCTGAATCAAGTGTGAGCTCTGGAAAGCAGAGCACAAAAATAACATGCTACCTACATAAAGATACTTTCGGAAAAAGGCCTGTGTGGACATTGAAGAGGGAGTTTTTTCGAAAGAAGAGGAAAGAGGAAAAAGCACAGGTGCCCTGATGGCCATTCCGTCCACAGTAATCACAGCTTAAATGCGAGATCGCATCCATTCAATGTGGACACTATCTTTTGAAAAAGCAGATCAGTTTTTTGATGCGCTTTGGCGGTGTGAGCGTTCTCTTTCGGAAGAAGTTTTTTCAGAAGATCTCTTCGGGAAAAGCTTCTTCCGAAAGAAGCCTGCAGCCATAATTTTTAGTGTTCATCTAATGTTCATTGTACCAATCCAGCACTGAACCTAAGACACAGATAACTGATAACTCTATATGTGAAAGAGAAGGTCACTATTTCCAAGACAAATAGTGGCACAACTGCCACTCAATTATTTAATACCAGACATGGTCTCCAACAGAACCCCTACTTTTCTTCTTATACTGACAAGAGCATGAAAATCTCTAGCTTAAAATGTAAAGGAGGCAGGCATCAAGGCTCCTGTTTTCTCTAGAGATCTTCACAGCATCAATTCCGTCATCTGTGGTTGAGCATCAACAGTGGCCCCTTATCCAAATCCCAAAATCACATCACAGCCAGAGTATCAGGAAAGCCCTGACACAGGACTGGGGGACCTACCATTCATTGATGGTGTTATTTCTTCCTGCTGCTGTAGGAGGCTAATGCATTATGGATGGGCTTTGTTTTTCGTATATCCACCAACCAACATTTCAATCAGGTAATGCTCATCATTCAGCATCACATCAAATCTCTTTGGGAGGAGAGGGAAGTGTAGAGCATACCTCAGGCCGGCCAATGCTCCTCCGAACACGTGCCCCAACCCCTTCCGCCTGCTCAATGCTGAGTACAGTTTTGATAACTTTCCTCAGAGTTGTCATCCTTCCTTCAGAAAGAAGATGCAGTTTCCAAGACTTCAAAAATCTGCACAGGGAATAAATAAGATTTTTAAATGTTGTCTCTTGGGAAATAAAAAAATCAAAAGCACACCCTCCCCCGCCAACACACACATACATCCCACACAAGCTCACAAAGCCCAAAACATTAACTGCAAATGAAGATATAAATACTATGAGTTTTGGTTTTACTTTAAATCTGCAAACAACCAGCACGTTGCCAGTAGCAAAAACCAAAACAATAGAAGGGGTTTCCATTTACTTAAGGAAAAGAGTTCGTTTTTTCCATCAAAGGAAAGTTGTACCTCAGGTACCCTATGAACTACCCCACAGCAGAGTACCTTGCTGCTCCCTATTTGTGCGGGATCTCAATGCCTGCAAACCACCGGTTGCTTTTCATTTAACTCCCTCTGTTCTGCACTTCACAGTAACTAACTCAGCATGAGTCAGCACAAAGCATCCCGTCTCCTAGCAAATAAAATGGGCGAGTCACATATTTGGAGGGGGGGGGCAGCTTGGGGTAGGGCAGTGTCAGGGAAGTATGCTACAGTCGGTCAGGCTTTACCATGCTAATACTTGTGTGGTATGATTCCCCCAGTGTGCACACAATCGCACAGGCTTATTGTGGCACTCAGCGCTAGTCACAAACACGCAACTAGACTCAGGGATCAATGGACGCAGTGACAGCAGCACACGCAGAATCGCACGCTCACAAATGACACAATCAGAGCCCGCGGTCACACACACACACACACACACACACACTCGCGAAATGAAAACCAGGAGGCCAATCGATAAGAAATCTTAACAGATGGGACCTGACGGGATCCCACTGCTGTTTGCTTTCTGGATCTGTGCCGTGGCGTGGGAGTGTGCTCTCGGTCTGAGACTCAGTAAGCCAGAGATGAATTACTGGCGACAGCTGAGATGGGAGGCAAATGGCGTCCCAGTGAAACTGACCAAGGTCTCTTACCGCACACTGTGTGATCCTAAATATCTGAGGAGCAAAGGTCAGGAGAACAGGGCTCTGCTCTCAGGCGGCATTACCCCCACCGCCTCCAGCCCTCTTGCAGATAGGATTCGCCTCCACGTGTGGAATGAATTTTGGCATCTCGGCCTACGTGAATAATTAGCAGCAACTAAGTTTATTCAGCAAATGTAGCCGCTTTGTTTGCATAAGAAGTGAGCGCGGACCACACTTTCCACAGTTTAGCTCCATGGACTGAACTCCAAGAGTTTTCTGCGGGTTATTTAATATTTACTATGGGTCTGACCAAAAGCTGCAGAAATCAGTGATTCCCATTGACTTCAATGGACTCTGAATCAGACCCAGTGTGAGCTGCCTGTTAGAAACTGATTGGACAGCTAATCCACCTAGTGTTGTTCCTGGCCTCTGATTGGCTCGGCTGGCAACTGTCACCAACGTTGATGCTTGCGCCTGTGACTTTGAGATCTGTGGTCCACAAATGCCCACTGCACGAAACGTCAGTTGCATCCTTATTCCCAGAGATCCTCCCCCTCCCCGCTCCAGAAAGGGGCGGGGCGTGAACGCAGTTGCCTATTGGCTGAAGGGGGCGGGGCCGGGCCGCCGGGGGCTGGGTGGGAGCTGTGACCTATTCGGCGCCTATTTGGCTCCTACTCCTGTGAGTTCGGGGCCGAGCCCCGGTGTGTCCCGGGAAGCCGCAGCGCCCGGGCAGAGGCTGGGGGGGGCTGGTGTCCTAGCCCGGGCCGCTCCCTCTGCTTCTCTGAAGGAGCAGGGGGAGCAAATGCAAATCTCGCCGTGACGCCCTGCACCAAGGCCAGCCAGAGGGAGGCGGCAGGGAACCTGGCGCTGCGACTGCCCCCCAGGCCCTGCGTGCTAGTGCGATAGGTGGCGTGTGTGTCCCACGGGCGGCTGCTAAGGCGCCGCCTCTTTGAAAACTCGTAATTGGCTGGTCACTGTTGCAATGGTAAAAATGTGTGTTGGGAACATTGTAACGTCGTAAGGGCCCCCAGGTGATGTTATTTTTTCCCAAAGCTCAGAGCTGGGACCTTATGAAAGTCAGGGTTCATTTTGGTCAATTTCGTGGTCACAGGGTGGTTTTTGAAATCATAAATGTCATGGTCTGGGATTTCTAAATCTGCACTATCATGGTGTTGTAACCTTAGGGGAGCTGGCCCCAAAGGGTAGTGTGCGGCGGGAGGGGGAAGGAGGGAGCTCCAAAACTGTGGTAGGGAGGGCATGACATGGGCACGTGTAGTTCTGCGTCGTTGCTGGAGGCAGTGTTGCCTTTAGAGCTGGACAGCCAAAGAGCGCACCAGCAGCAGCATAAAAGTGAGGGTCACATTCCATGGAATATGTGTGTGGGTGGGGGGCAATCCTTTTTAGAGAAAAAATGCATGTGTTCCATAATTTGCATTTCACCACTTAATAGGATCATCAAGCTGGAAGGGAAAACAAAGGGGGAATAAACACCCCTAGTCTCTTTCTCTGTGTTTAGTTGATTGACTGTGCCTGAAGTGAACAAACTAGTTCGGTCATTGAACTCTGCAGGAGGGGTCCTGCCTGAGGAATTGGTCAGTAATCTGTTAGAATGTGGTAGAAATTTTGTTTGAATCTAGTATAGTTTGTTAAATTAGGTACTAGTAAGCATCTTTATTCCTGCAACTATTCCTGATTTTTATTCCTCATTGCTTGCACTCACTTAAAATCTATTTTTCATAGTTAATAAATTTAATTTATTGTTTTATCTAATCCAGAGCGTTTAAAATGAAGTTTCTGAATAACTTTTCAAGTTGGCATGTTTTCCCTCAGATGTATTGCTTTATCTAATCCAGAGTGTTTAAAATAACTTTTCAAGTTGGCATGTTTTCCCTCAAAGATATAATTGGAATATTTATGTTGTCTAGGGGTACTAGCGTTATTTTGAAATAACTTAGTCCATATCTACACAACAAGCAGTTATTTTGAAATAATGTCAAAATACTGCAAGCTAGAGGACTTCTTACTCCGACTCCCGTAACCCTCATTGTATGAGGAGTAAGGGAAGTCGGAGGAAGAGTGCTCTATTTCAAAATAAGTGCTGTGTAGACACTCCCAGTTTCGAAATAAGCTATTTCAAAATAAGCTACTCAATTGACGTAGCTCAATTTGTGTAGCTTATTTCAAGAGGATTGGGTAATACAGGACATGCTGCTGTGGAAGAAATCTGGGGCTGAAGGTGTTTTAGAGTCATCGTAATATAACCAGGGCTGATGAGAGCCAGAGTATAACCTATGTGTGGGTGCAATTACATACAGACACTTACGGCACATTTATACCTGGCAGAAGATCAGTGCCCAAAAGGTCAATTTTCTAGCATTAGATTTAGAGGGTCTAATATAGACCCATAAATCGAACGTTGAGGGCAGCCCCCTCTGGCATCTGGTGGTACTCCTTCTGCGAGGGGTAAGGGAAGCCAATGGGAGTGTTTGCCTGTGCCAGTGGGGTCTGGCCTGTACCATGGTATGTCACACAAGCTGAAATCAAAACTGGAAATGTCAGTCTAACTGCATATTTCTGTTCCATACTTGTGTGCTGCTACTGCAAGAGACAACTCAACCAATCCCAAATTCTGAAGTAGAAGCTATTTGTATTCTCAGTTTACTAAGACAGTGTTTTATAACCAATGGGTTATACAGAATATAGGGCATATCAAGTTATTGGAAATTATATCAGGATCTAAAGGAAAACAATGATCACTCCCTTCTCCTTGCGTACCCTTCTCCATCAAGGAGAAGCAGTGTCTGGACATCTCTCCAAAGATGCACAGAGGCCTGATGTACACTAGAAAATGAGGTTGGAATAATTATACTGAGCAAGGGTGTGAAACATCTATGCCCCTGAATGATAAACCAATTTCTTTCCCCCTAGGACACCACAAGGTTGATGGAAGAATTCTGTAGTCATTGCACTGTAGACGAGCCCAAATAAATCACTTATATAGCCTTAGCCTTGTTATTTTTTATGCATTTTTTTTAACTCTTACAGTAAATGTTATGGGAGTGAAACGTAGCAAAAGTTCTGACTTAGAAAAAGGGGTTACCACTATGGAAATTACTTCCCAGAGACAGTGTGGTCTAGTGAACAGAGTTGTGGATGGATAATCAGAAGGTCTGCGTGCTATTCCTGGCTCTGCCAGTGGCCTGCCGGGTGACCTTTGGCAAATCACTTCACCTCTTTGTGCTTAGATAAGAATACCCAACGAAAGTGCTGTAGAACATCTAGGAATTACTAATTTCCATTGAGATCAGTTGGAATTCTACCATTCAAATTGAAGCCAGTAAGGGGCCCATAGTATTTGCCATATTCTTATTTAGTTATTTTACATTAGAGAAAAAGACATAAAAGTAAATATAACATTGTATATAAGAAACAGGTTTCAGGATGTTACGAACCAGTGACAATAAAAACAAGAAAATAACCATTTCAAATAGATACCACATTCTGCTTATGTTCAAACTTTCCTGTTTTTCTTCTTCCTTTTTTCCTATGTCTACTCCAAAATTTTTCAAGTGAAAGGTTATAGCGTGGCAAACAAAAGAAACCAAGAACCCTGGAAAAACACCAAAAAGCCTCTCACTTCACTTATTGGCTAAAAAGAAATAAAGGACAGAGAAGAGGAAAATATGTTTTCAAGAACTGAATTTTATGAATGGAATCTTTGTGTATGGTACCATTCTGTGCCTATATTTGCTACTGACAATGAATTTCTGATGAAGGCAGCAACATGTCAGGCAAGTACAATGGGATAGTACCTGTTATTGCCAGGAAGCAGCTCCCATTATTTGGTAACTTTTTAATATTGACAAACTAGCCTGTATCTATTTACTAGTTAGTAAAATTTTTAAAATGCTTCAGGACATATGATAGTCACTCACTGCTGGGCACTGGATGGGCAAGTTATTCCATATTTCTTTACTATAGAGAGTCTGACACCTTCTCTGTAATATGATACTGGATTTTGACACCTAGGACATTGGACTGGATAAACCACCGGTGTTGCCCAGTATGTCATTTCCTATGTAAAAATAAACCCAGAGCCCATAACATTATGGCTGTGTCTAGACTGGCCAGTTTTTCCGGAAAATCAACCGCTTTTCCGGAAAAACTTGCCAGCTGTCTACACTGGCCGCTTGAATTTCCACAAAAGCACCGACTTCCTACTGTAAGAAATCAGTGCTTCTTGTGGAAATACTATTCTGCTCCCGTTCAGGCAAAAGTCTGTTTTGTGCAAAGCTTTTGCGCAAAAGGGACAGTGTAGACAGCTCTGATTTGTTTTCCGCAAAAAAGCCCCGATCGTGAAAATGGCGATCGGAGCTTTTTTGCGGAAAAGTGCGTCTAGATTGGCACGGACACTTTTCCGCAAAAAGTGCTTTTGCGGAAAAGCGTCTGTGCCAATCTAGACGCTCTGTTCCGAAAATGCTTTTAACGGAAAACTTTTCTGTTAAGAGCATTTCCGGAAAATCATGCCAATCTAGACGCAGCCTATACATTTTACAATGTGCTTATTTCCATATAATGATTGAAAAAAATGTTGTAATGTATTGTATTAAGAAAATAGTTAAATTAAAGGTATACTGTTTACACATAATTGTGCAAAAATACATTTATGGAACATGAGAATCTCATACTTTAGGGAGATGTTATATTGAGACAAACCTGGCAGAGAACCCGCCCTGGAAGTGGAGGGCAGGGAGTGGCACTTCCCCCTCCTCTGCCCTGAGGCCCCACCCTAATCATCCTTTTTCCCCTGAGGCCTTGCCTGTGCTCCACCCTGCTGTGCCCCCTTCGCCAGGACCCCCGCCACTGCTTGTTCTTCTATGACCCTTCCCCTGAGACTCCACCTCCTTTCACTCCTCTCCGGCATTGAGGCTCCCACACCTGCCACCTCAACCGCTCCTCTCTGCCTCACCCATTTCCTCTAGGTGGAGAGGAGCAAGTGGCAGGCAAGGGAAGAGGCAGAGCAGGCACAGGAAGAGGTAGAAAGAGGCACAGGGATGTTGGGGCCACAGTGGACAAGGCGTCGTCTTCTCAGGAGCTTCCGGAAGCTGTACTCCAAGGGTGGAGGGCTGGCATGCTTCCAAAGGGAAGCAAGACACATCCAGCATTTCTTGCCCCATTTAAGCTCATATCTGCTGCCCATGATCCCCAGTCTCCTTGGAAACAAGAAACAAAGGATGGGTTGGTCACATATCCTAAGAGGGGGAGATTCTAGTAGTGCAGAGATGAGGAAGTGCTATATGCTACAAAGGGTTGAGGCCTTTTATCATACTAATGGTACCGTTTGTATGTGTAACACCGACAGACTGGTCATCTGCAGGCAGGACTGAACCTTGGATCTCCAAAGCTTAGTGCGTTCATGAGCCTCTACTCACCATCATGGCCTCCATACGTCTCGAAAGATGGTGGGATGCAGCATTAAACTGATGACCATGCTTAACAGCTAGGATGGAGTGTCCTCTCCATGTTGTCTTCTGCTGCATTGCCTGGGCAGATAATATGGCGATCGTGCATTGCCCAAGGACACTATCCCCCACTCAATCCTTCCAGTTAAGCCCAAAGAAAAGACAAAAGTCTATACATTTGGAACTGGACTGATTGTAGGAGATGCCGGAAAACAGATTGGACGCGTCCTTCCTGCTACTCGCCTTAGGGTCTCCACTCCTGATTTTCTTTTTGGGTTTACTCCCGTAGCCTTTGATTCTCCCAAAACTACTCACAAGGCATTGAGGGATTCTCTTTCAGGGGTTTCTTCCCTTAGCAGGCTAACCCAAAAGGCAGTGGGGGCAGCAGTCTTATTTAATGGCAGGCTACACTCACCATGTCCCAACGCCGTCATTGGGAACATGTGATTTTTGATCAGTACAGCGGCCGCCAACCAATGTCCCATCAGTCCCTAGTAGCGTTGCCACTGCTGGTCCACGGCTGCATATTAGCACAATGAGACATGCGTATTTTGCAGCAGACCTCTCACAAGAGAGGCTGCCTCCTATCCGCCACCTGGAAACGTGGCGGGTAGCAGGCAGCTCTGCTTTCCCATTACCAGGGACCCATGCCTTTTTCTATGATCTCTCAAAAATAGAATATTGGTTAGGAACTGACATCATGTGTCTGTTCTGAGCGGTTGCTCAATTCACGTGGGTAGACACTAAGGGTACGTCTAGACTACATGCCTCTGGCGACAGAGGCATGTAGATTAGGCTACCGGACATAGGAAAATGAAGCAGCGATTTAAATAATCGCCGCTTCATTTAAATTTACATGGCTGCCGCGCTGAGCCGACAAACAGCTGATCAGCTGTTTGTCGGCTCAGCGCGATAGTCTGGACGCTCCCCTGCCGACATCAAAGGCATACCTGGGTGGTCGACAAATACCTTTGATGTCGGCAGGGGAGCGTCCAGACTATCGCGCTGAGCCGACAAACAGCTGATCAGCTGTTTGTCGGCTCAGCGCGATAGTCTGGACGCTCCCCTGCCGACATCAAAGGCATACCTGGGTGGTCGACAAATACCTTTGATGTCGGCAGGGGAGCGTCCAGACTATCGCGCTGAGCCGACAAACAGCTGATCAGCTGTTTGTCGGCTCAGCGCGGCAGCCATATAAATTTAAATGAAGCGGCGATTATTTAAATCGCTGCTTCATTTTCCTATGTCCGGTAGCCTAATCTACATGCCTCTGTCGCCAGAGGCATGTAGTCTAGACGTACCCTAACATAAGGAAATGGCAAGGGCTATGGTCATCATAGAATTGTAAACCTGGAAGAGACCTTGAGAAGTCATCTAGTCTGGTCCTCATGGCAGGACTAAGTATTATCTAGACCATCCTTGACAGGTATTCATCTAACTTGCTCTTAAAAATCTCTAGTTGAGGCCTAATTAAGAGAGAGGATTCTGGCCTGGGAGAGGGGCTTTAGGAGTAGGTACAAACTTTGGGAGAGAATTGTGACCTGGGAGAAGGGAAAAAGGAGGTGCAGATGTAAAGGGTTTAGGTGGTGACCTAGGGCAGGGAAATGGGGTGCAGGGTCTGGGAGGGTGTTTGGGTGCAGGAGAGGATTCTGGCCTGGGGGAAGGGTGTAAGAGGAGGTACAGGATCTGGGAGGGAGTTGTGACTTAGGGCAAAGGGGTGCAGAGGGTTTGGGTGGTGACCTGAGGGAAGGCGTTGGGGTGCAGGAGGGGCAGGCTGTGCTTGGAGGTGCTTACCTATGCATCTCCTGGCCAGCAGCCCTGCAGCACCCCCAAGGCAGGCTGGACTGTCTGCCTGCTGCAGCCCTAGACCACTTGAAACTGTAGCTCTACCCTCCGCATAGCTCTCAGTTCCGGGAGAGGGAAGAGGTTTGCGCTGCTCCTGTCCCCCAGGCTAATCTCTCAGCTCCTATTGTCTGGTTATTTCCAGCCAATAGGAGCTGAGGATTGGACATGGGGCAGGGAGCTCACACAAAGTCTCCTCCTGCCTGCAGAGCAGATAGCTTCACGGACTGCACTTTAAACCATAGCAGCTGTATTTCTGAGTGTCCCGGCAGGGTGGTCCACAGGCCAGATCTGGTGGTTTGGTGGGCTGGATCTAGCCCACAGGCCATATTTTGCCTTAGTATCATGAACTCTACCATTTCGTGGTCACTTCCACCTAAGTTGCCTTCTACTTTCAAATTTTCAGTCAGTTCCTCCATGTTTGTGAAAATCAAATCTTGAACAGTATCTTCTTTAATAGCTTTCTCCACATTTTGAAATAAAACATTATTTCTAATACATTTCAAGAACTACTTGGACAACCTGTGCTCGCCTGTGTTATTGTCTCAACAAATGACTGGGTAGTAAGTCCCCCATGATCACCAAGTGCAGTGCTTTGGATAATTTTATTGCTTGTTTAAAGAAACCCCTCATTTACCTCATCTTCCTTGTTAGGTGGTCTGTACTAGATTCCTACCAAGATATCACCCTTGTTTTTTATCTTTTTATCCTAACCCAGAGCCTTTAAACAAGTGTGTCTCCTATTTCCATCTCAATCTCAGTCTATGTATATACATTTTTCGCATATAAGACAACACCTCTTCCCTTTTTTCCTTGCCTCTCCTTCCTAAATAACCTGTATGCTTTTATACCAATATTCCAGTCATGTATATTATCCCACCAAGTCGCTGTGATGCCAGCTATGTCACTGGTGTCTGTAGTAACTATCATTTCAACTTCAAAGCTATTGATTTGATTTTCCCTTTGTGTTTTTTGTCTTGCCCTTATCCTTGCCATTACAGCCCATGCTATCCCCATAAACCAACTTCCAATCCTTTTCATGAGAATAGACAGAGAAAACAGACTTGTAATGTTGCAGTATCTCAGCTGCAGGAACCACAGGGAACGTTCAGAGGCTACAAACCCCCTTGACTTTAATGTATCAAGACTAAAAATAGAATTGTGCAAAGTATATGCTAACACAGACAACATACCTGTGTTCTGATAGCGTGGGTGTAATGAAAAGCATGCAAATTTTATTTTTTTGATAGACACTCTGGATTTGATAAGGATGTGAGGAAGAATAAGTCAGCAGGACACTTCCCTTTGGAGCACCAAACAAACCAAAGAGAAAGGACACACTACTTCTTGTAAGAACATCACACGTGTAAGTAATCTTAAATTCAAATAGTTTCAAAAACCAAACACTCCTCTTTTCACTTGTTACTACATAATTAATAACAAAATTAACATATCTGAATAATCATACTATTACATTTTCACTTTTTAACATTTCTGTATCTGAATGGTTCTGTTTCACATCCTTTCGATCCTCTCAATGCAAATTAAAAAATCAGAAATTACTGGTCCAAGAATTATGCTTTTTCTCATCTGTGATATAAAGAATTGTGTGTTTACTGCTATGACTTTCTTACTATGTCTCAGATATGATACATTTGTGCTTAATACAGCTTCAGTTGTTTGCCAGGCAATGCAAGATTTTAAATATTCAAGCAACAAAAGGGCTGAAAATGTCTGATTTGGAGCTACAGTTTTATCTTAAAATGTATTTTCCTATAACATGTTTATTTTTGTTTGAGTCAAAAACTAACCTTTCACAGCTGTTTATAAAATTATATTCTTTAGACCAGCTTATTAGAACATGCTATCAATTTATCTTAAATTCATTTTATTACATGCTTTACTATCCATTCATTAACCTTTTAACATCTACTATTATTAATAATCATATGTAATTAATAATAATAATACAATCACTATTTCCAATTTCTAGAGCAATGAAATGGAGCAGGAGTCAATTCTAGAGGAGCTTCTTTTAAAGAAGTCACAACAGAAGAAAAAAATTTCTCCCAATAATTACAAAGAACGACTGTTTGTTCTCACCAAAACAAGCCTTTCTTACTATGAATATGATAAAGAGGTGAGAAATCATTTTTGTAACTACACGGGTACATACTTTGCCAAAGTCAGCTTATGCCCCTGGATTTTCTTCCTCAGTGTGCTTTGATTCAATGTCATATAGTTGGGGTAGTGACATACTTTGTTCCGAGTGATACTTAACAATGGTATGCCACCAAAATCTGGCCATGATCCAGAAGAGCATTTAAGCATATGTTTAGGTCCATCCCTCTTCAGGACAGAATTTATCTATGTTCAATTTTCATCATATGCTTAAATGTCATTAAAGTGAATGGGATTTAAGCTCATATCTAAAGTTAAGCACAAGTGTAAGTACCATACTGAACAGGGATGTTTTCCTGAATCAGGGTCTCTGCGGTGAGTTACATATCTGGCATTGGTTTGGAGGTCATGTATACAGGAGATAGCTCAGCAGAGCTGGTGATGGGCAGAGGCAAAGTGGGGCCTAGCCATTTAAGAGGGCCCAGGGCTTCAGGCTGCCACTGCTGCTACTATGGTAGCAGTGGCAGCCAGAGTCCTGGACCATTTGAATTGTCTCTGGAGCTCTGTGTGGCACTGTCCACCCCTTCCACCCAAGCTGAGCTCCCCCCACATTGCCCTGGGTCCAGCAAATTCTGTCACCAACTCTATAGCTCAGTACAGAATTTGATCCATAATTTATATGAAATAAGAGGCTAAAGTGTGATTGTATTTTAAAAAGTAATTATATATACAAAAAGCTGGTACTTTCAGCACAGTGGCCTTTTTTATGTACTCAGATAATTGCTTCAAAATGACTAAAATACACTCTTACTATTTGTACTCCTGGTAGCACATTTGGACTACTCCTGTGAATTATGATTCCTTGTGTGAGTAAGAGTGGCAGTATCGGTGCCAATATCTAACCAAAATAATGTAATACAAAATCAGACTCCCCTTTCCCATTAGAAACTTTTTCATTTTCTTTCCTCATCTCTACTTTTGCATTGTTAAACCAAAGTTCTAGTACCAAAAATGGGGCTTATCCTGTAGTCTTTATACCTTGACTTCAAAGGGAATTTTGTGAGTGAACGGATTGCATGTTAAGATAGAATGGAAGGTTCTCAAAGTTTTTCCCAAACAGTTTAAACAAAATTGGAACTTCTGCCTTACCCAGGCTGAAGTGTGCAATTATACACAGCTTAGATTATGTGTGATTTTATAAAGCTTGTTATGCTCATAAAGTGTTTTTGATTTGAGGACAATTGTCTTGTGTTTAGCATGATGAGTAGTCATGTTTTGTCTTTTATTCTTAGAAAAAAGGAAGCAAAAAAGGATCGATTGACATTAAGAAAATTCGATGTGTTGAGAGAGTGAATCATGAACAACAGGTGCCATTGGAGCGACAATATCCATTTCAGGTAAGATTACAAAATAAGAAACTGATCTTTATTATGGTAAACTATTGTTTTTAGGACTACTAAAGGCTTGTGGCATTGCTGACTGCTATAAAACCTTACAGCAGGTTGGAAATGAATCCATCTTATTATAATCCTGATCCAAAGACCATGAATGAGAGTCTTTTCACTGACTTCAATGGAATTTGGATCAGGATCTGTGTGTTTGTGCATTCATGTGTTTATAATAGTTTATTTATTGTGATATTACACACACACAAGTATGGTGCTTCTATTTGAATATCACACATGTTTATTTTAATGTGCAATACTGATCACAATTCATTTTCTCTTTTTAAGATTCCTCACCACCTTCCACTTTAGTGGTAAAAGGAAGTACAGAATTTGGGTCCTTTGATATAGAATATATAGGTTGACAATTTTAAATGCACAAGAGTCCAGAAATTCAAAGTTATGGTTCCCTCAGCAATTGTACCTCATCCAAATTGTACATCTCCATTAAATGTTATTTTTATCAACATATTCAGTCATACACAGTACTAAATATGTGCATTGGAGCTAAGTCATATCTGCTGCAAAAGCCATAATTTTGAATTTGCTGTCATTTGTATGTGTTAATTCTGAGGGATAGGGCCATTCCAAGGCCAAACCCAGAGCAGAGTCCTGGAGGCAGAGAGTTTATGAGGAGAAGAATATACAGCAGTACAAAGCTAGTCTAAAATGGGCAGCAGTGGCTTGAAAAGGGTATATGTTCTGGGCTGCAGATTTCATTAATTAACTGCCACCCCTAAGGCTACATCTATACTGTGGCAGTTTTTTGGAAGAGGAAATGCAAATGGATCACTCATTTGCAAATCTCGTGCTCTCATTTGCATATTCTCTTCTGATCATTTTTACAGAAGACGTTTTTGCAATAAAAAGCCCTGTGTAGACAGGGCCATTTGTCAGAAAAAGATCCGTTTTGCGCAAGATCCCTTATTTCTCAAAAAATGAGGTTTACAGGATCTTGCATAAAATGGTTTTTTTCCGATAAATGTTCCCGTCTACACAGGGCTTTTTATTGCAAAAACGTCTTCTGTAAAAATGATCAGAAGAGAATATGCAAATGAGAGCACGAGATTTGCAAATGAGCCCTCCATTTACATTTCCTCTTCTGAAAAACGGCCGCAGTGTAGACATAGCCTAAGAAAGGGCAGCAGTGTTATCACCATGGCTGTGTCCAGACTCAGGGGTTTTTTCGAAAAAAGTAGCTAAGAAACGGCAGCAGTGCTATCACCATCTGACTTATTGAGGTTGAATATGCCCCATAAAATAGTATTTGATATTAAATTAGTTTGTTTTTCTTGTGAGCAACTAATACACTCAAACTTGTGGGAGGAAATTAGGGGAGGGAAATGAAAAGCACACACTGTACTTTCTAGTTCTAATGAGACTATAAAAGATACTAAATGTAGAATCTATTTGATTGCGTACAAATACCAAAGTGGGTTTTACCACTGGGGAAAGGATTGGTTCTCCCATAAAGCAAACTCACATATATGTGAAATGCAAGCGTAACTATTTAATTCTGGGTCTTCATTGTCCTGAGATGCATGCATTTTGGTGTTAACAGACCTGCAGAACTTGATCCTTGAGCTCCTGAATCTTTTACTTGGTTTCCATTACTTTAGGCCTTAAAAATAATAAAACAAAGCTAATGAACTTTGAACCAGATATGAAGCACCAGATAACTAGAATGAATTGCTTCCCCCCTCTCTTAGATTGTATATAAGGATGGCCTTCTCTATGTTTATGCAGCAAATGAAGAGAGCCGAACTCAATGGGTAAATGCATTACATAAAGGTAACATTTGTTTTTAGCATTTTATGAGGGGACTTTTTTTAACATGATTAAACATGGGGGTGTTTGTGTGTTCAAAGATATCATCTGAATAAGGGGAGTCGATAATTCTAGTTTCTCATTTTAATGCATTGCTTTTGTCAGCCATTTTCAGCCTCAATCTCACCCCATCAGAACTAGAGTGGATGAGAACACTGCAAACATTGCAGTGAAATTGATGAGGGAAGAAACTTCACAAAATTTCTCTGAAAGCATTTTCCTTCCAGCGCTTGTCTTTACTTAGTTTGTTCTGACTCTTTTGATTGTCTTTAGCTTAGCAGGGCCCCATCCATGCAATAAGTAATATGTAGGCAGAGTTTTGGGCCTGGGCAAACCCCAGTGAAGTTGATGGGACTCCTCAGGGAGTGAGCAGACCACTTGGGCCCTGTTTATCCCTTGCGCATGGAGATAACTCTGAGGCTATTTCTACACAATGGGACTCCTCAGGGAGTGGGCAGTCCACTCGGACCCCGTTTATCCCTTGCGCATGGAGATAACTCTGAGGCTATTTCTACACTGGGAAGTTTTGGCCACAAAAGTGCTGTCAACATGCAAAAGTTGGCAAAAGTGAAAACCAGTCATTCTGGTTTTTCTGCCTCCCATTGTAGACATTTCATGGCCACATTGCTAGCTCCCCTATCGACATATAGAGCAAAGCAATGTGGGTAAGTATCCCACCGTGCAGTGTTGTGGGAAGGCAGAGCTGATCCCTTTGCTTCTTAGGATTCTCTCATAGCTCTGTGAGCTTTCTGTGCTAAGGAATGTCAAAGCAACAAATAAGTCTCTCCAGCCCTCTCCCTGCAGCAGCAGTTTGCCTGCTATGTCTTTCTAATGCAGGGCAGAACGGGAGCATTCAAATGATTTACTATTTTTGTTTGTTCCCCAAATGGAGTAGCTCACTCAGCTGTCAGATACTCCCTGGACCTTTGAAAGGGCAAAGGTGGATGCCTGCAGAGCAGCAAAGATCATAAAACACTGAGCACAGCCATCAAAGCCAGCATTGTGGGATACTGGCAGAAAACAAAAGAGTCCACATTGGCTCTTTGTTTACAATAAATGGAGGGGAAAAAACTAAAGTCTCTCACAGGACTGGAGGTTTTTGGTCACCAAAACTGGGTGTTTTGCCCTACAAAAATTGCATTGTAGTGTAAATGCTCTCACAGTTTTGTCTCCAAAAGGCAATTTTTGGTGACAAAACATGCCAGTGTAGACAAGCCCTGAGTGTGTGGTTCTCTCCTATCTCCTTGCCTACATGGAAGTCAAGATATATTAACTATCTTTGCAACTTTGTCCTTGGTGAATCTGGGCTGACGTGGGCCAGTCCACTAGGCTCCGTGCATTGTTTCGTCTCAAAACCAGGACAAATGCTTTTGAATAATTCTTTTGAAGAAACATTTAGTATTGAAAGCCCCTGTGGGGAGAGGATCGTGAAGGCACGTGCCATCAGGGATCCAGGCTGGCAAGAGAGTAGGGAAGAACCACAAGAAACCAGTAGGCAGTTTGGAGGCATAAAGGCTTCCTACACATGGCCCTTACCTCAGGCAGATTGAGTTCTTGGCAGCTGAATCCTCTGCTCATTTCATATGCCCAATGGAAATATGTCATGGAAACTCCCAGATTTGTCATTTCATGGGTCTTATTGTCCATAGTTGTTTTTTTACCTAATGGGAGAGAGTTTTGTTCTTAAGTATGGAACTCAGGAATTGGTCCAGTATTCTCAGTTGCACATATTAATAAAAGTTTGTCAAAAAGGTGGGTTTTTTTTGAAAAAAAGCATGTGAGGATAACTGCTTATTAAGTGAATATTGCATACATCTTGTGATGTGCATAATAGCAAAGTGATTATACCTTTCTAAAGAATTTTTAAAATCAAATTTAACTATAAAAACAAGTAACAAAATTTTGTGGCCAAGATTTTGAACAATTAGCAGCAGTTCCCTTGCATCTGAACCTGTAGCATTTTTTGGAAATGGATCTGTAAATTCAGGGACCTCAGCAAGGATTTAATTGCCTAACTTTTACAATTATTTATTTCATTATCTTTTAAAATAAATAGTACAAGCCTGATTTTTTTAAAAAACAACAACTATGGTGTCACTATTGCCAGTTAAACTATTTGGAGGCAGTTCTATAGGGTCCTGTAGTATTTTTATATACAAGTAACAAATGTTTCTTTAAGAGAGTTATAAATAGAAAGTGTTACATTTCAACTGGACATTACTAATAGGTCAGTTTTGCACTGGAATTTTCCATTTGATGACCCAAACACCTACTGTTTGATAAGTTTATTTCCATATTATGTATTAATTTGACAGAATTAGAAATGGAAATTGCTCTTCCTTTTTGATAATTAAAATATTCTATTAGATTTTCCCACATTTATTTAAATGGGCTTTTTGACAGCCAAGCAAAATCTTTAAGGTGTTGTACAATCTATATCTTCTCCATGATCTTGATTCATGCTAAATTCTTTTAATATATCAGTCTGTACAACTTACTGAGAACATTCTACCAGCATGCCTTTTAAAGTTTTTCTTTTTCCCCTCCTGTGCTCTCCAGAGATCAAAGACAATCCTGGTTTACTAAACAAGTATCACAAAGGATTCTTCGCCAGTGGGAAGTTCCTTTGCTGCAACCAGACCTGTAAAGCAGCCCCTGGATGTACTATTTGGGAAAAATGTAATGAGCCATTTTGTTTGCATTTGTTTTTTGATATGTTGTTAGCCTTAATGGTGCTTTTCACGATATTGCTAAATCTACAAGGATAATTGTAGTCAGTGGTGGTAAATATAAACAATCTGGTCAATTATTCTTTTTGATATTGGTTCTTAACTTCTTTTAACAGAATTGCAAATTGTACTATGTAGTTTGATAACATGGCTGGGGGCAATAATGTAGTACATGAAACACCTAAGCTGAGATCATGATAATTTTATAGTGTACCTCCAAAATGCACCAAAAAAAAATCTTTTCTCTTTAATTCTTTGATTCAGTATGCTGAGTTGTTGTTGCTGTTGTCATGGAATTGGGAGAAAAAAAAATCAGAGCTCATCTTTCCGGCCAAATTATCTACACGTTGAACCTCTCTAAACTGAGTCTGTTTGGTCCAGCCACATCTGTGGTCAAATAGGACCACAGATGTTGCTGGACCAGAGAGCCCCAGCAACTGAGAGCCCAGCGGCAGGAAGGCCAGCATCTGGGAGTGCTGATGAGTCAGTGGCCGGACACAGGGCTGGCAGCAGCGGAATCAGCCGTTCTGCCAGGACCTGGAGTCCTGCCAGGGTGGCAATAATGGAATGATGGCAATGGGGCCTGGAGCCCAGCTGGGCTGGTGGGAGGGTATTGGTGGCTGGGAGCTTTGCCTGGCTGGCGGCAACAGGGCTAGCAGCTCTGCTGGGGTTGGGAGCCCAGCTGAGGGGGAGGAATGAGGGGCCGGTATTGACCTCTGCTGTTCCGGCAAGCTCCCTCATTTGGGACCCATCAGGTCCCAAGGGTGCCAGACCAGGGAAGTCCAACTTCTACTAATAATTGTAGCTCCACACCAAAATTTGTGTAAGTCAGTTTTAAAGAATTCAACTTCATAATTAATCCAAAGTAAAACTGATTTTTTTCATTATATCCATGACGGGGGTTACTTTTCTAAACAGTGTAATATTCTCCTCCACAAGCCGATTTCTGGTACCCATGGAATCTGCATTTATAAGAAACAAGATTATAATACACATCAGGGAATCAAGAGAATAGCTGAAAAATCATTTTAACTTTATAAACTCTACTGTTCTGGGAAGCAAGTTTTAGTTAGGAAAAATTGTCAATCAGATTACTCCAAAAAATGGGCAGTTCTAGGGAGCAGTTGTTCCAAATAATACACATTCCAGAACCTCACAAAGCATTTCTGCATTTCCCTCCTGAGCACCATTTGAAAACAAATATGTAGGAACAAAAATGGATATGTAAAACTAAATGAATGAAAGGGTATTCCAAGCTGCCTGGTGATGGTGTATCTGAGTTGTAGATGTCTGCACTATGTTAGAACAACGCATTTACTAAATGAAGGAGAACCCTTTTAACATATATTATTCTTTTATTTTTTCTTTAATTATTCATTTGTAAAATACCGGAATGGAAATTAATCACAATTATTTAGAGCATTTATTAGTCACCATAAAGAGTATGAGGAGCAAATTTGCAAAATGATTGCATCCTAGGATCTATATATTCGTAAGCATGTTGCCCTCATCCCACCTCAACCACACACACATTATGGCATGCACACTGGAGAGCTGAGAGTTCCATTTTTGGAAGTGAACACTTCTTTTGGATGCCTCTGGTTTTGAGTGCCCTACCTGAGATACTGAAAGACTGATTTTTCAAGGGTGCTGAGTTCTTACAGCTCCCATCAACTCAGTGGGCCTTAGCCCCTCTGATAATCAGGCCCCAGTTGTTTCAAGACGGGTACTCAAAATCGTAGGCAACCCATAATTAAGGGAGCATTTGAAAATGGAAGCCTAAACATCTAAACTCCTAATTTGCAAGTGAAAATATAAAGGCCCCCTTTGAAAATTTGCCTGCTTGATTTAGTATTAACCTAGGTATTATGAACGGACACAGCGTAGGAACACTAAACAATGCCCTACTATTTTAAAGAGTTGCCAGTTGTTAGGGTTTTTTTGTAATTTGAATGGCCTTATATAACTGCCAAAGCAAATACGATATATGCAAATAATGCTATAAAACCCACACAGCACCACAAGTAACTGTTTGATAGCCACTTAACTTCCACACAGAGTAGTATGTAGAAAAAGAAAACCTTCCAAAAAGTAGGGTCACCATGTATCATCAAATACTTAGTTTTTGTCTGAAATGCTGCAGAATGAAGGAGGATGTTTGTATCTACTCCAGATTTGCTTCAGAAAATGTCCTATTGTTGATAATGCAGCTCTGTTGGGGTACGTCTACACAGCAATGTTACTTCAGAATAACCGACATTGTTCCAAAATAACAGTCCATGTCTACACTACAAGCAGTTATTTTGATATGTCAAAATCATGTCAAGCTGGAGGACTTCAGTCTCCGACTCCTGTAACACTCATTTTACAAGGAGTAGCGGAAGTGGGAGAAAGAGTACTCTTTCTCTGACTTCCTATTGTGTAGACATGCCAAAAGCGGAAATAAGTTATTTCGATTTAAGCTACACAATTGACATAGCTCAAGTTGTATAGCTTATTTCAGCTTTAGCCCTGCTGTGTAGACATACCCTGGGACAGCAAAAGTGTTGTGAGAGGGCTAGTAGAAGGAATCTTCCAGGCCACCTCTGCCATATTAACTATAGTGTCTCCCAAAGCAAGGTAACCAACTGTGGAGGTAAAATGTGGGTGGTCACCAGTGCCAGCGGCAGATTTAGGGCAGGGCGAGCGGGGTGGCTGCCCTGGGCCCCGCGCTTCCTGAGGCCCCGCGCATGTGCCATGGCGCCACGGTACATGCGCCATGTCAAAGAGGGGGCCCCACAAAATTTCACTGCCCTGGGCCCCGCGGCACTCTCATCCACCCCTGACCAGTGCTGTGTCTGCTCTAGCACTCTCACCAGCGCTGCCACTAGTGGAGCTTAATAACTGGAAAAGCCGATTGAATGCAAGGTCCTGGAGTCATGCAGTAAATTGCTTGTGTTGTTTTTACTTTGCTCCCAGTTATAGATGTGAGTCTGTATAGCCCAACCAGCTTAACCAGCCCAACCAGCTGTGTGAAACCACTGCCTCCTGTTCCTGCGAAACCGGTAGGTGACAAGCCTTTAGTATCAGCATTTAATGAAACCTGTGATGGGGGTAAATACAGTCCCTATCATTCAGATGATGGAGAGTCCCGGTGAGGAAAAAATGGGGAATCTGCTCCCTCAGACAGCTGTTCAACGGAGGGTACACCCGTTAATCGCTGAGGAGCATCAGTCATCCTTAGTGGCCTCCAGCACAGCTTAGGGAAGGATAGGTGGGTACAGTTAGCCATCCTCAGTCCCTCCTTTTCTCCACTCATCTCTCACTCTGCCCACACTCCCTTCTAGGCTGTTGCACCGCAGATTAGCCATCCTCAGTCCCCCCCTTTTCTCCACTCATCTCTCTCTCTGCCCACACTCCCTTCTAGGCTGTTGCACCGCAGGCTCTGTAAAGCTGGGAAAGTCTCAGGTAGTTTCTAGGCATTGCAGTGTGCTGCTGTCAGTTTGGGCTATAACAAACGTCTGCTTCTTTGTATACATTTACCTTTATGTGCCTATTTCTGCAGACGTCAATAGGAATTTTACCACAGGCCTTGGCCCAAAATTAATCTAGAGCCCAAAATCTCCCCACTCAGCAGGTGCAGAGGAGTGGGAATGCTGCAGTTCCCCTGTACTGGAGAGAGAACCGGATTATGTGAGTCTATAGAGGAAATGTGTAGCCTCTGCGAGCCAGAGGCCAGCTCCACGGAGACGCCTGCTATAGTCATGTATAGAAGCACAATGAAGGGAAGAGGGGTGGTTGTCAGAGACAAGAATCAGGATGAGTCTGGAGAATCTGCTGCTACATTGATTCTCTGATCCTTTCCTCCCTACAGAGCATAAGATCCATGCAGGTTGCTCCAGCACTTAGGCCCGGGTAGTGACTGCAGTGCAGCTTCCCTGTGTTCCATGGCTGGGAATTGGGGTGGTCTCCACCAAATGCTTCTGCTGTGTCCAGAAAGGTCACTGAAGCTTGGCGCTCCAGCACTTAGGCCCAGGTAGTGACTGCAGTGAAGCTTCCCTGTGTTCCGTGGCTGGGAATTGGGGTAGTCTCCACCAAATGCTTCTGTTGTGTCCAGAAAGGTCACTGAAGCTTGGAAATGGGGAGAGGGCTTGGGACTAAAAGCTCAAGTATATGTTCTACGTCTAAGTAGTGACTAACAGTATTGCCAAAGCCAGGGAGTCAGAATTCTTCATTTGGGCCCTCCCCCACTCCTGAATCACAAGATTTGCTCTAAAACCATTGTATTTTTTTTAGAAAGTACATTTTAAAAATACATTCTAGATTCTTTTTATTTACATCCTAATTTTTTAATCTCTTGGATATATGCAGGTCACAGTTTCCAGCTTTTCTCTACAACTGTGAGCACTAGGAGCTTTAAAAAAAAAAAAGCTGAGCTTCTCACATAATGGGTGGAGGGATAGCTCAGTGGTTTGAGCATTGGCCTGCTAAACCCAGGGTGGTGAGTTCAATCCTTGCAGAGGCAAAAATTCGTCAGAGATGGTACTTGGTCCTGCTGTGAAGGCAGAGGACTGGACTCAATGACCTTTCAAGGTCCCTTCCAGTTCTAGGATATAGGCAATCTCCATTAATTTATAATCCCTTGATTCCAGGAGCAGGGGTTTTAAGACACATACCAAATATCACAAGACTCATGATAAAATCAGAAAAACCGGCAGCGCTATGTTAAGTATTTTTGTGTGAGTAGAGACTTAGAAAGCAAGTGTAACTGAGCAAACAGGCTTTTGACACTTGTTCGGATAATGAAGTTTGTGGATAGTGAGACTGTGAATAAACACGTTTCAATGCCATGGGCCATCCTCCCTGATTCCTATCAAAAGGATTTTGTTTATCTAAAGATATGATCAGTCATGCAAATCAGCCGCTGGACTGGTTGACTCATATTAGGAATTTCCAGCTTATTTTGATTATGACTGAGTTCCAAGGAAATGTTTTGAAAGGGAAATTTAAAAAGCAGGGGCATAAAAAGGTTAGATGGGTCCTGAATACAAATTCAAAGGGGCCCTATAATAACTCTCAAATACCTTCCAGAGACAAAGCAACTTTATTTCCTGGGCCCTGTCTCAATGCACAGGTCAGGATTACAAAAGTTGGCCAGTGAGAGGGAGCAGCATTTATGTGGTCCAGCTCCCAACACAACTTTGGATAGCATTTTTCTTTTTGCCCTTTTACCACCCATTCAAATTGTTCAACATACCCAACATCATAATCTCTAAATCCTCCCTTCCAAATCTCTCTTGGTTCATGCCCCTCATCTTATCTTCTCTCCAAATCTCTGGACATTCTGTCCCACTCTTCTCTCTCTCCAGGTTGTTATGAGTGCTGTCCTTCTTCCCACATCTCCGAGTCTCTGGTATCTCTTTCCTCAGGCCAATATCAGACCTCTGCCTTTTTATGCTGGGGCCTGACAGAAGAGGCTACTCCACAGGCAGTTATGGGAGTGAGGGACCAGCAATCAGATTAATGGGCATGACTGGGTTTTCACAGGAACCACCAGACATTTTCCCACCTCTTTGGGAATAACTGTTGTTTCCCGGCATGAAAAACTGTTTTTCACCTCTTCTCTGCACCCGTTTTAGCCCTTAGTGTCTCTCTTCTTCCTTCTCTTCAGCAACAGCAGATAAGCAGTGGATAAATCCACTGGCCAGCCCACAGGCGGTCCATGAAGGTAGGGTTGGGGGAAGCAAGCCCCCAACCCCACCCTTTTCACTGAGACCCCACCTCCCATGGGAGCCAAGCCACCTCCCCTCCACCACCCCAGGGAGGCAGGGCAATGCGCTGCATCCCCACTACCACGGGGGAGGAGAGGCAAGCAGGTGGGCATGTGTGCCCCAACTCCCCGGCCTGGAGCACAGTGAGGGCGATTGGCACATGGCTCTCGTCTCCCCAGCCTTGAAGCATGGGAAGGAAGGAAAGTGGGTGGCTCCAGATTTCCCAACCCCGAAGCATGGGGAGGGTGGGCGGTGTGCAGCTCCAGCCTCCCAGGCCAGGAGCACTGGGAGGGCAGGTGCTGGGGGCAGCAACACTCCACCCCCAGTAGATCTACAGTAGGCATTCTGGGGGCAGAGTGTGGGCCCTTCCCCAGCCCTAGCCTCACTCCCGTCATTCCCTTACCCCCTTTCTGCATCTGTGAAGTGCATGTGTAGTCACCAGGGAGTTCCACAATTGCTCTGTGGCCTCAGTGCAAGGATTCTAGCCTGTTCTGTGCACACATACACCAACACACGGGGTGCCACTATCCGAATTAAATCCAGGCTGGTGACCACATAAAGAAGCAGAGCAAGCAAGAGATGCTGCATGATTAATTTCTGACCTCAGGAAGCTCTGAGAGTTTTGGTTTCCAAACAATGTCACTTTTTTACAGGTGACAGTGTAAATCTGTGTATTTTCTCAAGTAAAAACATGAAGTCCTCACAGGTCACCAACGAAGTGAGCTACATCAGAACAAAGAAACAAGCATCCTATGTTAAAACCTGAGGAAAGCAAGTCTGATAGATTCATTCTCTTCTAGTTTTTCTGCCTTCTATATTTGATAGGCCAAGCTAAGGGGCATCATGTCAGCCACTCAGGCCTGTCCTTTGCAATTCCTTCTCTTTGCACCATAGGAGAATTCCACCTCCTCATAATGCTCCTGGGTTCTGCCAGCTCCATGACTGGAGAGCCTGTGGTGATAGCCCTAAAACAGATCTTAGTTTCTGCAGGACCATGACATTTCCAGAAGCAAAGGAAGGGACATTAACAAACAACAATCTCCTGCCAAAGGTTACCTGAAGCAAATCTTAGTGTGCATGTCACCTCATGTGCATTTTTTTCACAGGATATTGGCTAGAATGGTCATGAAACGATTAATATATAATCTTCTTGGTGGATTATTATATTCATCTCTCTTCCCATGAGAAACATGAAGATCAAGTTCTATTGCCATGTTATAACATGAACAGCTATGGTGTGAGTCTCATAATTATGTACGTACGGCCCAGTCCTACAGTCTGGTGTGCACTCAACTCTCTCTTTTAAGTCAAGCAAGATCCACATGCAGAGGGCTTGCAGGGTCCGGTCCATAGTGTGAATGCTTCATGAGTTATCTGTCTGGCTTTTGTTTAGCTGCAGAAATGAGCAGTGGCACCAAAGGTACAGCTTAGGGATGCTGAGCACAACCCCATCTTAGACCTGCTGTGCCTCTGTGGCCCATGCTACCACTGCTACGCTGCTCTTTGTATTCACACTAACTTGATGAGAGCTAGAATGAATATGTACCCAACGAGGGCAATCATACCCTTAGCTGTTAGTGTAGACATAGCCTCCACGACACCACGTTAAACCAGGAATAACTGCAGTGCAGCCAATGCAATTGCTCTGGCATCAACCCAGTGTGAGATCAGAATCAGCTCCAATATGTTTAAAGGTGGAATGTATGAGTCCATTGGGTCTGTCAGTTTTGGGGGGTTGTTTTGGTTTTGATTATGAAGTGTATCAAATAAAGAGATCAAAGTAAACATGTAATGCTATGTTTTGAAATTCGTTTATAAAAGGATAGAATATGCTTGAGGGCGTCTGGCATTTTCCCTGACTTTGCTGGCACTGTACTCTTTATACTTTCAGTGGTAAAATGTATGCACATAGATTAAAATGGGACCACTTCCTCCTATTGTAATCTTCCTTCAATATTTATAATTTCCTTGCCAACCTTCCTCAGTCACCATAGCCAATAATACTCAGTACTTCAGAATTTCAAAGTTTATGTTTATAAACACATGTACTGTGCTCTTGGCCTGCTTTTGGACCCATTGAAGTCAATAATAGGACTTCTATTGGCTTTAATTAGTATAGGGTCAAACAACATGTGCTGACTAGTATTATAATTTACATTACAATAGAATGGTCAGATTTACAAAGTAGTTTAATTAATTGCTGAAAATAATATGACAGATTAATACCAAATAGCCTCTTCAGGGCTTGAAACAATAACCACATAAACTCTACCTAAAGTTATGTATGTATTGTATAGACACCCCACAGGGCTAGCTTTAAAAGAGTCAGTATTTCCCAGCCGCAGGTAGTTAGGGAAATATTTTCAAAGTGGCCTAAGCAATTTAGAAATCTAAATCTCATTTTCAAAAGTAGCAGGCACATAGGTGCCTAAGTCTCATTGAAAGTGAATGGGATTTGGGACACTTCTGAAAATGTTATTTTTATGCCTCATTCCTACTGCCAGGGGCGGATATAGGGCAGGGCGAGCGGGGTGGCCACCCCGGGCCCTGCACTTCAAGCCCTGTGCATGCGCCGTGGCAAAGGGGGGCCCCGTGAAATTGTGCTGCCCTGGACCCCGCAAAATGGCCATCTGCCCCTGCCTACTGCTGTTAAAGTTAATGGCAAAACTCCTATTGATGTCAGGGAAAGGTAACTGGGGCTCAGAGTGGTATATTGCCTGCATATCTGTACATTTCTGATGGCCATACCTTCCATGACTGGAACCACGACTTACAAAAATTTTTAACAAAAATTCAGAGTTTTTATAATCTCAGCCAGTCCACCACTAAACCAGGACTCCTCTGTGAATTTTACAATTTTTGATCTATGTATGTACACTGTAGTGAAAGGTTTGTAATGATTTTAAGTTGCTTGTTATTGCATAGTTTTAAACAATTATTTAACTTTCTCATAATTTTCTGTGACAGACAACTTAATATTAAGCAAAGTTAGTGAGAGACATGATTTCCTCTTTTAAAATAAAATTTGCATTTCCTGCTGTGGCAAAGCCCTTACTCTTCCCGTTTTATTCCATGACAAATAATCAGCCATAATTATCTTAAATATCTTTTTCTTAATACTGTGTATACAAAAGGAAATAACAGACACCTCATTTTTTTAAATACAAAGTGCTATTGTATAATATTACAGCAGAGACTTTTGGTATGTCTGATATCAGCACACTTGCATATGGTGTAAGGTACTTAAGCATCATGACTCACAATGCATGCTACAAGTATGTCTTTACTGAAAAGAAGGTGTGATTTTAGTTTTGGTTAGCACTTCATTTCAACCCTAAGGTAAGTTATAGGCTTTAACTTGAGCTGCTAATCCAAGTTAAATGCCAATTTTCTATGTCTTTACCACTGTTTTAACCCAAGTTATCTACTTTATCCCTAACCTTTAGGAACACACCTTTTTTGCAGTATAGATTTATCAGAGGTGTAAGTATCAGTTAACTTACACCTCTGATAAATCTATACTGCAAAAAAGGTGTGTTCCTAAAGGTTAGGGATACACAACTCTACATACATTAGAGTAGAACTAAGCCTTGAATATTATTGTAACAGAGTTTGGTTTGTATTTCATTATTTATATTGGACTACAGCTGTTGGAATGTATTTCAAAACAGACAAAGGGAAAAATACTTCAGTGCCCCATGCATTTCTAGTTAGCTTGTGCTAATTTCTTCACGCTCAGAGAGCTCATTGAAGATGCAAACTACAATCTAAATGCTAAATATGATATTTCTACTGCAATGCTCTTCATTGTAATTTTATTTCCTCTGCCTTCAGAAGCTGAAGCATGACAGTCTGCCTCCAGTTCTAGCACCTGGTAAAACATGGCTGAAGATCACTGTGGCAGAATATGATTATGAACCCAAAGGAAACTCTGACATCCAGCTTGTCAGGGATAGCAAGTACTATGTTCTGAAAGAAGAGGATCCTGAGTGGTGGCAAGTTAGAGACCTGCAAGGGTAAGTGCACTTTGTGCAGTCAATAGAGAATATTTGCAACAGTAACATTTCAAATCACACCCAACTTTAAAAAACCTTGCTGGCACTGTTGCATTCCAAAATGCAATTAAGAACTACCGTGATGGCTTTTAAAATTTGCTCCAGCTGATCTCATGATCCTTAATTTCTTCTACACTCCCACATCACCTCCTTTGACCTTGCTTCTGACTCCTCTCTGATCTTTGACACAGTCTTATATAGATGACATAATAGAGTGTCTCTGATGCATGTTAATTTAACATGTCAGCATCAAATTTAGAGGAAAGTAAAGCCTTCTCAGGATTAATCATTTTCATTCCAAGGCTCACAAAAAGTCCACTCCTTGCACATCATATAACAATATGTACAAAGGACAGGGTTTTCATTTCTTAAGACTGTTCAAAAATCTGTCCTGCCCCATTTTTTCCTTCCATTTCACCTACTTCCACTCTTCCCTGTGAAACAACTAGAATTTTAGCCACCAGATCAGGCAAGAGTCTCAGTAGCCCACTATCTCTAGTAGTTTTTATTTTGGTATGTACCTGCAATGAACAGTCTCTAGGAGTTTTTATTTTGGTATGTACCTGCAATAGCAGTGGCAGCTTCAGAGTCAGTGGAGACTATTAGGAAAGAAGCATTTTTCAACTTTGGAGTGTCCACATGGAAGGCTTATGGGGTGTGTGAGTTAATCCAAAGCTTTTTGTTACACACCAGGAAACTTGCAGGATGTGAGGTGCACCAACAGTGTGCATATGCAGAACAGGCTGTTCTGTTTTCAGCTCACACCATGTAGACACATGGTGGCAGTTTGCTGCCAACTAAGCTTCATAGCAGAGAGGCTTGGAAAGAAATTGTTGATGGCCTATGCTCCCATAGGAGCTAAGGGCAAAGAAGAAGGTTCATAGGATTCTCCAGAAGTATCCAATGGAATGAATTTCCAAGGGAGATGTCTTTGTTTCACTACTGAGCACTGTGAATCCTGGGATTTTTTTTTCTCTGTGAATTGTGAAAAGCCAGGCAGGTTCAATTTTATTTAGAAAAATCATGTTTCCACCACGTCTGCCCCATACATCATTTTTGGGCTGGTTCGCACCATTTCCAAAATACTGTCATCCAGCCTGGACTCCACAATGCTCCACACCACTGTGGTGACAAGCATGAGGATGGGAAGCTGCTTGGACTGCATTACAGCATTTACAACTGAGCAAAGGCCCATTGCACCACCCAAGTGGATGAGCTGGGAGCAGGAGAATATCCCATGGAATCAGCAACAGGTCCTCTAGCAGCAGCGGGACTCTACAGTGACGGCAGCAGGAGAAGGACACCGTTGAAACAAATGAACTAGTTCCTAGATCACCTACTCAGCATTCAGTGCCAGGAAACCAGAATGGATTGGTAGAAGAGAATCGTCCTGCAGCGCTGGGATGAGCAGCAGTGGCTATAGAACTTCAGGATAGGGAACCATTTTGGAGATCTGCACAGGACTGATCCTGAAGCTGCGGCAGCAACAGCCTGCCAACATGTGGTGCTCCATGCTGGTGGAGAAGTAGGTAACCATCCTCCTTTGGAAGCTGGCCGCTCTAGAATGTTATCACTTGGATTAAGTGCAGGGAGATCAGCTGTTGGGACTGTTCTCTATTAGGCCATTGATAAGGTACTGTCTGACTGGGTCACGAAACTGGATAATGCTCAGGAGATTACTGATGGCTTTGCATGAATGGGGTTCCCAAATTGCATAGGGACATAATGGACTCATGTGCCTATCTTTTGCCCCCTTCCCGTGCCAGGCTGCAGAATCTATAAACAGAAAGGCTACGTCTAGACTGGCATGATGTTCCGGAAATGCTTGTAATGGAAAAGTTTTCCGTTAAAAGCATTTTCGGAAAAGAGCATCTAGATTGGCACGGACACTTTTCCGCAAAAGCACTTTTTGCGGAAAAGCGTCCGTGGCCAATGTAGACGCGCTTTTGCGCAAAAAAGCCCCGATCACCATTTTTGCCATCGGGGCTTTTTTGCGGAAAACAAATCTGAGCTGTCTACACTGGCCCCTTTGCGCAAAACTTTTGCGCAAAAGGGACTTTTGCCCGAATGGGAGCAGCATAGTATTTCCGCAAGAAGCACTGATTTCTTACAGTAGGAAGTCAGTGCTTTTGTGGAAATTCAAGCGGCCAGTGTAGACAGCTGGCAAGTTTTTCCGGAAAAGCAGCTGATTTTCCGGAAAAACTGTCCAGTCTAGACACAACCAAGAGGGTATTTCTTCATGCTGTACCAAAGACAAGTGGACTCCCAGAGCAGGATTTCAGACATGTATGCAGGGTGCTATGGAAGCATCCATGATGCTGGAGCTTCTGGAACTCAGTTCCTTTTAGAATAATGGAGAAAATCACCTCAAGAGCACTGTAGACATCAATTGAGTGTAGGTTGGGCTGGTTATTCTGGGAGACCTGGCTTACCCCCAATACCCCCCTGGCTAATGAAGCCATACACAGATGACTGGAACAGAAGGAGAGCATATTTTATCTATTGCTGGAATAATGGCAGAATGGGGGTTGAGTGTGCACTTGGCCATTTAAAAGGCAGATGGTGCTGTTTATGGTGCAGGTTGGAAGCTGGAGAAAAAAGTCTGTTTTAACCATTCTAAGGGCACATTGTGCTTCTGCACAACATTTGTGAGAGTGTGGGAGGTGCCTTTCCGTTGGGTGGGTGGCTAACGTTCTAGACTTGCTTGGAGGTTCTAGCAGCCAGGTAGGCATCTCCTAGAGAACACTAACAGCTAGGAGAATTCTGCCAGGGATGCCCATGCTTGTATTTTGAGTCTTGGATCTGAACTTGGTAGCGCACTGGGGTTGTGCTGGGACACAAGCATTGCAACCACAACTCCCAAAAGAAGGTGATGAGTGGTGGCGGTCAGAGACTCCCTCCTTAGGGGATGGAGTTATCCATCTGCCGTCCAGACCAGGAAACTCGAGAAGTCTGCTGCACACAAACAAAAGATTAAATTAATACAATTTGCAGTTAATCTAGTGGACTTCAGAACTCCTAATAGTCGTGGAATCAATACACAGTCATTGGTTGTGTGTAGCATGCACATGTGTTATCAAACCAGATTAACTTGATTTGATCTGGATTAAATTCCCATATAGACAAGCCCTTACTGTTCTACCACAATGACTAGACATCCCTTTCTGTAGATTTTCTTGGTTATTTCCCTTGTGGTCCCCAAAGGGAGGAATCTTCTTCAGCAAATTAAAGAAAGGTATTTTCTCAGTAATCTCCAGATGGGAGCAATATCTGTGTTCAGCTGAGAGAGATCCCAGACAGGAGTTTGGACTGAGTTGAGTTGATTGGTCCACTAATAACTCAGTGATTCAAGTAAAGAAACAAAACAAAACAAAAAGCATTAGTTTCCAGCACACACTACACAGTTTAACATTCAGTTTCACTGTAAAAAAATCCTATGGAATTAAAGAAAGTAGAAGGTCAGCAACGAATGTGAGGGGGTGCTACATGGTTTAAAGCACAGAGTGCAGAAATCACGACTGCTTGGCTGATGGTCAAGCAGTGTATTATGTATATACATGATGCAATCAGCTCCTAGCTCTCACAACACAGATGAAGGGAAGGAGCACAGAGAGAGAAAGAATTATTCCTAGTGTTTCCCCTGCGGTCTGCGCGGTTAGTTGGAGTCAGGGCCTTGTAAGTCTATTGATGGTAAGATGAGAAATTGAAAGTATGCGTCAAGTATATTTCTGGTGTAATCTTTTTTATTTAAAGAAACAAGTAATCCACATTGTTCTTTCCCCCTGAACATAGCAGAAACAAAACAGCAGGCAGTTCCCTCACTCAGAAATCCATTGAGTCTTCTGCCCAATAAGCCCTGTCTCTCTCTGCTTCAGTGACAATCACAGTTACTCTTCTATCCTTCTCTCCTTCCAACAGACACAGCTTCCAACTGATATTGTTGGCCTTGATTGAGTTGAACCTGAAAGAGCGTGCCTGAGATCTCCATTAAGTTAATGAGGTCTGGAGTTGTTTTTTTGGATCAGAGCACACTCTGCTGGCAGCCATTAATACATCAGGAAATTATTGAGCAGCCTTACCTACAAACTGCTTGCTCCAATCCTGATAAGAAAGCCAGTCTCAAAAATGGAAGTTACATTTGCATTTGATCAATAAAACTTTTGTGGTTCATGGGTGCTTAAACCCCTCCATGATCAACAAAGTTGTGCTGTGTCAAGTAAAAGTTTAAACGCTGTTTTATTGGCAGGGGCATTCTCCTGCTGTCAAAGCGAAACCACATGATATGGAGTGGAAGTATTTTCTCCGCAAAAGTGCCAGCAAGCAGTGTTCACACAAGCTGACTTTTACCAACAACATTGTGTCAACATAGTCATGTCACTAAAAGCTGCATAGTGTCGAAATGCCCTATTTCAGTGGCTGTTACAGATTTAATGTATTAAAAAGTAATTTCCTACAACAAAATTCCCCATGCATTCATCTATGCGGTATATAAAAACAGGGCTATTTTTAAATATTTTAAACATGAAAATCTCTCTAACACTTAATCAGTGAGCAGGGGCAGCCCGTGACTATTGGCGGACTTGGCTGTCGCCTAGGGCGCCGCCTTCAATGGGGCGCCCAGGGCGCCCAATGATGACGTCACTCCATTGACGCCCATGCAGGCAGGGGCGCCGATCGCTCCTTCCGCCTGGGGCACTAGCTGCCGCAGCCCACCTCGGGCTGCTCCTGTCAGTGAGTCTTTGTTTAATCCCCATTCCTATTTTTTAAAAATTTAAGTTGGATTTATACAAGAACCATGTAACTGAACCGTGAAATTTTTAATTTGTAGGAATGAAGGCTTCGCACCAAGTACCTACCTGAAAGAGATTTCCTTGGATGATGATGAACCTGGGTAAATCAACCTGCAGCCATTCAGTGCTTAAATTTTCATCCCACCATTTTAGAACAGCTCTGGCTAAATTTTTAGAATGTTTTACTATTTTGTGATCTATTCTGTGTTTTTTTGAATACTCTACATAAAGTGTCCTGAAAAATATCACCTAGACTATATCTTCACCTCCTAGCTGTATACAGACGTTATTCTGAAATAACATAGTCCGCATCTACACAGCAAGCAGCTATTTCGACATAATGTCAAAATACTGTCAAGCTGGAGGAGTTCTTACTTCTACTCCTGTGACCCTCATTTAATCAGGAGTGAGGGAAGTCAGAGGAAGAGTGCTCTGACTTGGACTTCCTACTTTTGCCAAAAGCCAAAATAAGCTATGGAGATATACCTATCTCATAGAGCTGGAAGGGATCTTGAGAGGTCATGGAGTCTAGTCCTCTGCCCTCACAGCAGGACCAAGTACTATCCCTGACAGATTTTGCCCCAGATCCCTAAATGGCTCCCTCAAGGACTGAGCTCACAATTCTGGGTTTAGCACCTTAATGCTCAAACCACTGAGCTATTCACTCCCTGCTGTTTGGACTTAAGCTATACAATTGATGTAGCTCAAGTTGTGTAGCTTATTTCAGCTTTAGCCCTGCTGTGGAGATGTGCCCCTACTGACATCAAAGGAAGTTTTGCCATTAACTTCAGTGGGACCAGGATTTCACCCTACACATCCGCTATTGAGGCCTCACCCTTGCAATCACATATGTAAGTAATTTTCTGCATGTGAGCAATCCCATGGAAATTAATGTGATTTAAGTGAAGCCTGCCAGACCAGATCCTTTTTTTTTGTAAGTATCTTTGGCCCTGATCTTGCAAACACTTAGGTTGTGTATATAATTAAGCACTCGCCTGAGTGTTTGCAGGGAGCATTTGAATAATCCCATGGACTACAGAGAGATTTAGCTGAGGGTATGTCTATACTACAAAGTTAGTTCGAACTAACGGATGTTAGTTCGAACTAACTTTCATAGACGCTACACTAGCGCTCCGTTAGTTCAAACTTAATTCGAACTAACGGAGCGCTTAGTTCGAACTAGGTAATCCTCATTCCACGAGGATTAAGCCTAGTTCGAATTTACTAGTTCGAATTAAGGGCTGTGTAGTGGGAGGCTAGCCCTCCCCAGATTTCCCTGGTGGCCACTCTGGGCCAAACCAGGGAAACTCTTCTGTCCCCCTCACCCC